TACCAATTCTAAATGTCCCCTCCCAAACAGAATGACCAACAGCATATATCTATGGTTCTTGTTGTTGAAACAGGAGACAGAACATATGGTTCTTTTTAAAATGATCTCATCTATTTGGAACTAAGAGAAGAAGGGAGAAAGTGAGAGGCCTACTCCCAATGGGAGCAAAGGGCCCCTAACTCACATTCCTAGCCCCTGCACAAACAGAGCACACAGAGATCTCCAGGCCCCAAATTCATGCTGAAAGAGTGTTTTTACCTTCTTCTATCAAAAGGTTCCTTTTTAAATATACTTCAAGAGAAAGGTAAAGGGTGAATTTGTGCTTTTCTGCTACCGTCTTACCTTCCAATCATTAAACGTCTCAAAATGCTGAACTGTGAGAAATTTTACCAAATAACTTCTTAAATGATCTTTTAAACACAGCATAACAGACACACAGTGAGACTGCATTATCTGCTTGAGACAGCGGCTGTGACAGCACTGAATCACCTTCTTATTCACTAATGCTGCTTCAGAAACATCTAAAGAAATGATACTTATAATAACAGATTATCACACAATCTGAATTATACATTTTACCCACAGAATGTGAGGTGTTGGTGTTTCTGCTCATGTGCTGTGACTTTATCTCCTGAATTTTCACAGTATCTCAAAATCTGTCGGCATATTTGAAGCACAAAATATCAGATTATCAAACTCCTGAAGAGGAAGAAATTTTACTGAAGAATTATTCAGTTGTGACTCTGTGAACAGAACGATTTGAGACTATAAAGTGTGTAAACTGTGTTTTTGCTTCTTTACTATGACATTATTTTCAGATTGTCAGAAAGTCTCACTCACCTCACACTCACATCTAACACAGCGTAACAGAAACAAACATACTGTAGGATTTTGATATTCTGTGATATTGTCCTTCAGATGTGACTGCAACACATATTTGAGACATTGTGAAGATCAGGAGATAAAGTCATAGCAAATAAGCAGAAAGTAGATTAATTAACAGATCATTAATAAGACTAATTCAAAAGTACTAGTTAGTTCATATGTAATTATTTATATGAGTAAACACACTAATCAGTTCATTAACAGTGAAAAATCAGCAGTTTTTACACAATTAATGAGTAAATAAGCTCTGAACTAATAAACCAAACAATCAGTTAACAGTGAACTCAGTTACTAATTACTAAGTACATAATCAGTTACTAAGAAATAACTAATGCTTAATCAACATTTCATTAATATATAAATAACAAGTAGTTAATAACTTATTAAAGACATAATTAATCTTTAATTTTTGAGCCTTAATGTAAAGTGTTACTGAGTAAATATGTAGTCCTGGTCCTGTGCTGTGTAAATATATAATACTGGGTTTTATACTAAGCTGAGCAGCAACATTAACAACAGCTTTATTTAAACGGCATCTGTCATAATTAAAAGGAAATAAATAAGAGAAAAATTCAATTTTCTCAACAAACATGCACTGAAACAGAAACTGAAGAGTCAGTGCTGTAAACCCTGATAAGCTCAACTCTGACACTCAAACCTCAGACTCAGTTCTGAATCTCAGTCTTTCACCTGTTTGTGATTCATTACTTTCTAAAAACCTGCAGCTTTTAAGTTTAAAAGACGAAACTTAAGTCGTCTCAGACTATAGTTCTGTGAGCACTTGAGCTTTTAAGTTAGTCTCCATTATGCACCTGATCAGATCTGATTAAGTTTATAGTGCTGACTATATAAACATTTCTCTCACTTATGAAGTTTTATGTGTTTTATTGATTGTCGTAACAGTTCGTTTCTTCACTGTTTCACATTCTGCTAAAGTGACTCTGCTTGTTAACGAAGCTGTGATGATCACAAGTTCAGATGTGGGAGTTTTGAGAGTGATGTTCTCTCACAGCAGCCTTTAAAACACTCAGAGCTGCTAGTTCAGTAACTTATTAACAAACTGACATAAACAGAGACTCAAAGCTCCATCATGATTAGAATAATTAGAATGTTAAATGTCTAACGCATCAGCGCTACAGAGAGCTTTTAATCTGGACCTACACAACATGGTTTTTAGCCTGTTTTTAACCCAGATCTGCCCCTTTCAGCACATTTTCACTCTGAAGTGATTTTCCAGATCGGGATCAGAAGTGACTGACGGTGCAGATGATCTGGTGGAGTGAGAGGAGAAACGAGTCACTCTTTAGCCTTCTGATCCAACTCCGGAGTGATCAGAGGATCTCCAAATATTTTCAGACATGTCTGATTTTTAGGACTCAGAACGTTCTCGAGTCCTGCAGTGTGAGATGGTCAGTGATGGAGCTGAGCGAGTGACTCAGACAGCAGCCAGTGAGAAGCTAGAAGAGAGAAAAAGGTGAAGAGACACGTATAAACGCTGCGTCTGCAGCCGACTGAGGAGACAGAGGAGCTGCTAGTAAAACACAGCCAATAAGAGTCTTTATCATGTTTATAATGTCTGGATCCAGATGTTGATTCACTCTCTTCACAGTTTCAGATCAGCTGCCAGTTTGTAGTGAAATGTTCTCCGGCTCTCGCGGTGATCTCTGCGTTCTCCAACACACTTTCACCCTCAGTTTGAGTTTCACTGCACATAAGAGCACAAACAGGTCTGATCCACACTCTTAAAAAGATGGTTCTCCAAGGGTTCTTTAGTAAAGACAATGGTTCTAAATAGAATAATGAACACTCATAGAACTATTTGAAATGGTTCTTCAGGTTGATGGAGAATGTCCTATAGGTGGTTGTATATAGAATATTTAAAAAAAAAAAATATTCTATATAGTTCCATAAAGCGTTCTTGTATTTCTACAACTTTAAGCCTGTAACCAAAGAAGAACCTTGTTTGGTGCTATATAGATCCCTTTTCAAAAAGGTTCTATACAAAATCATATAAAATACATTCTTCATCAATCCGAAGAACACTTTCACAATGCAAAGAACCAATTTATGATTCAAATGCAGTTGAGTTTTCACTGCACATAAGAGCACAAACAGATCTGAGCCACACTCTTCAAAAAAATGGTTCTTCAAGGGTTCTTTAGGAAAGAGGATGGTTCTGTATAGAAGCATGAAAAATCAAAGAAACAATTGTATTCTTAAAGGGTTCTTTGTGTGGTGAAATGGTTCTTCAGACTGATGGAGAATGTGTTATATATGATTCTATATAAAACCTTTTTGAAAATGGTTCTTCATAGCACCAGAAAGAATGTTCAAGTTTGCCATTGTCTCAATAGTAACCCACAAAAGCACATTAGTAATAGAACTCTTTTTTGTTTGCCACTTTTAAGAATTATGGGTTCCTTAGGCAAGAAAATTGTTCTGTATGGAACCATGAACATTCAAAGAAAAGGTTGCATGCTTAAATAATTCCTTGCATTGTTAAATCTTCAGATTGATAGAGAACATGCTGTAAATGGTTCTACACAGAATACTGTATATACTGTATATCTATATAGTACAATAAAAGTTTTTTTTTATTTCTACAATGTTCAGCCTGTAACAATAGAAGAACCTTTTTTGCTGCTATATAGAACCTTTTTCAAAAGTAAAACATGTTAAACACACATGTTCTCCATCAATCTGAAGAACACTTTCATGACGCAAAGAACCCTTTAATCATGTAAATGGTTCTCTGAGTGTTCACGTTTCTATAGAGAACCAATGTCTTTACTAAAGACCCCTCGAAGAACCATCTTTTTAAGAGTGCAGTTCAGCTTTGTGTGTGTGATGTGAAAACAGGGAACTCTGGGATTGAGTTCTTACTCGTAGCTGAAACTGGTTCTGTGTGTTCTACTCTCTCTCTGCCTGATCTCTAGTTTTGCTCAACCTCACAACAACAACTCCAAGAAACTCTGTGAAAGACTGACGTTGAGTCTGTGCTGCTCTCCGTTTTAGAGATCTGTGAGCTTTAGAGAGCTGCTTGTCCGAATATTAAAGCCTCCATTGTTATTTTACAGTGGAATGAACTGTAACGAAGGACACGAAAAAAGTTTCTCACTATCAGTTTTCATTGTGTTTCTATGAATCAGTGTGAGAGTGTGACTTACTGTGAACTATAAAAATGAACTAAAGCTCTCACACATATTACTGATTATGATTATTTCTGCTGCTTTTTTTATAAATAACTGTTAATCTTCAATTTTCAAACTGATATTTATATAAAAACAACAGAAATCATGACTGTAATCTAGTGTTCATATGACATATGAGTGACATATGAATGTTTTGTTTATTATAAAAAATGAAAACTGGTAGGTTTACTAGTAGGTCACCATGGTCACACTGTGATGATGTCATATGGCTGCAGTGGAATCAGTCCTACAGAAAATAAGACAAAGTTTGTCTCCTGGGTGATGATGTCACATTCTAGCTAAAGCTGGAAAGGCTGAACGATATATTTGATTTAAATGCAATCTCTGACTCGCTGCTCCTCACTCAGTGGAGAAGAGAGAGAGCAAACATGTGATACAGAAACACAAATGGCAACTTCTTAGTAAAATGATTTTGTCTATTTTAATAATAAATAAAGTTTTTTATTTGGTTTATACAACATATTTTAATATTATTGGACATGAACACTATATTGAGACATACATGTATTAACAGTCTGGGTTCCCTTTAATGAAGACCTGGATGTAGTTTGAACAGGATGAGAGAAGTTTTGGGGAGATATTTACAGAAAAGATTTGGGTGACTATTGACTTCTAGAGTTTGTTAGCAACATTAGCCTCTAAGCTCCAGAACTAAACTAAAGAAGCAACATTTGAACACCAGCCATGTCCCAGCTGATCAACTACATCTGAGATGAGATAGGAAAATTGTGTGAATTTGAGTTTTTGCCAAAAAATGTATTTATTTTCTGTTTCTTTTAAAACACACACACACACACACACACACACACACACACACACACACACACACAAACAGTTTCCTCATTTCCCAATCTAAATCAGAGAGAGGTGTTTGTGTGTAATGGAGAGACTCAGCAGCAGTGATAGACTAATAATCAGATGAGCTTTATTAGAGCTCAGAGAGGAGCAGCAGAGATCTTCAGAGTACAAGAGACACTGATGATCATGTTCTCCCTGTATGAGCTCAGAACTGATAACAGTCAGTCCGTCTCCAGTTCTGCACACATCTGTCTTCATCTCTCCCATCAGAAACAGAAGATTAAGAAATGCAAATCTGAATTTACATCTAAAAACCACATCAAACACTGTTACAATAAAAGACACAGAACCTTATTATTACCAATTATTTGTAAGTGCAGACAGTTACATTAGTGACACAGTGAACTGTAACTGTACACATCCTGTACTGATCATAAAGCTTAATGAAAAAAACCCCACAAACTCTACATAAAATGTATAAAATCTGTGAGATAGAATCTTCTTGTCTGTCTGCTTCTGATTTAAAATGAGCTTCACTTCATCTAACTGTGCTCTCATGGAAACAGAAGGAAAACAAAAACTTAAATAAAGGAAGCCTTGATCTCGACTGGTACAAACACAGATTAACAAAAACATTTCTTCTGGTAAGGGAGGAGCAAAGGGAAACTCCACCCAGCAAAGCTGCGCGAGGAGGCCGGAGTTTCATTTTGCCCATAACTGTGCAGTGAGCTACTGTGCTTTGTTATTTTTAGATGCATACGCTTTTGTAATCTTTCACCCAGGATAGCTTTTGTACATTGCTGACTCTAGTACCCATGTTAGCTTTGCAGTCACTCCAATTTTGTGATCTGTTGTAGGCACATTAGTTTTGTACCTTATTGCATTCTGTAGTCAAGACATACCAGCTTTACTGCCTCACTGCTTTGCATCTCTCTCTCTCTCTCTCTCTCTCTCTCTCTCTCTCTCTCTCATGTATGCTTTCTTCAGTTCTAGACAGGTTAGACGGGTGCACTCATACAGTTTACGGCATGCAGTAACCCAGTGTATAGACACATGAGGTAAGAGTTGCCTTTTTTGTATTTATTTTTTGCTAAAGGTGAGAACAGAGCAGGTAGCCCTTTTTGTTTTGCTGTTAGGTGAGAAATTGAAGGGATAGGATAGTTTTTTGTTTCGTTTAGACGATACCTTTCCTTTCTGGTCTAGAACCCCCCAGCAGGTATAACAACTTTTGTGTAAATATTGTTAATAGTGTAAATAATCATGTTCTTTGTGGTCTCATTGTGGCCATGTTGTATATCTACCATAGTGTGCATTAAACAGTAAAAAGCCAGAACGTGTTTGTTCTGTTCCTTCCTGGTTTGTTTCTCACGCTTTACATTTGAAGCATATATTACTTGTAACCCTCTCACTGGTATGGAGAAATCCACTTTGGTCATGTTTGCTAGGTTCGAAACAAGGAGGATGGAAAGAATGAAATGCGACAAAGGCTTGGAAGAAAATAACAACAATGAATATATTGTTAGCTCAGTAACCATATACAAAACAAGGAAACAAACAGTTACACAAAGGACAAAAAAAGAAATAAAAATGGGCCCAAAAAAAAACTTAAGAGCTCTTCAGGTTCACTGTCTCTGAATTTAAATCTGAAGCTCAAGACTGCTATTCAGCTTCTTTTCATTTCTTTGGGATGAATCTCAGTTCAGTTCGTAAGGAAAAGCTTATCTGTTTCTCCTGTTCTGTCCCTGCCCGTGAAGGAACAACACGCAAGGCAGACGGCTTTCAACACGTTGTCCTGGCTCGCCGTTCTGGTCTCACTCACAGTCTGACGCATGCTTGAAGGATCCAAACTCAATGCAAAAAAAAAAAAAAAAACAATCGGAGTTGCTCATTAAAAGGAGAAATAATCGACAGCAAAAGATCTTGATGGATAATTTCACCTTTACAGAGTGAAATAAGTAAAATATGGCTAAGAGTAGTAAATCCGAAGCTAAGATGCAAGTGGTTTCGTGGTATCGTTCGTTTTGTTTTTTTTTTTCTAAAACTGGTTTGGACCGGTTTTCCCAGCTGGCTCAGACTATCTTAAAGCGCCCTCTACAGGAAATTTCAAGAACTGCAACAACTATACCTATATATTTAAGTGTAGTACAAACATAAAATGAAAATAAACCCTCACTTTAAGTGGGTTAAACACTGGCCCCATCTTACCCTAGACTGCCTGTGGGCTCATAAAAGTTTGTTTACTATTTAATTTCTCATGAATGTTCTGTACACAAACACACATGTCCATCTAGTCCACACACTCATACTGTATTTACACACACTGTGTCTCCCTCTGCTGCTGGAGCTCCTCAAACACCTTCAGAAACCACTTCATCTCTTCATGATGTCGTCTCTTTGGTGATCAATAATACACTCCATCAGCATGACATCTGAAAAAAAGAAAGAACCAAAAAATAACTTTCAATAGAAAAAGTAACATGATGTAAACACAGAATTAGTCAACATAATATCCAAGTTACTCATTTAAAAGATGCAGAACCAGTTTCCTACATGTAGCTCAATCATAGAGAATTTAAACTGAGAATCACTATTGCCATTTCAGTTTAGTCTAAGATCAGATTTAATCCCTGTCTGCAAAAACAACCCACAGTATGTGTGTGTGTGTGTGTGTGTGTGTGTACATATTTATCTGAAATCACTGTCACTCACCTTAGAAATTGTAGTCTGTAATGTTTATCATGCTGAAGATCAAACAGCAGCTCACGTCCGCTCTTTATCTGGTAATTCCCAGACAGATCCAGCTCTCTCAGGTGTGAGGGGTTTGATTTCAGAGCTGAAGCCAGAGCACCACAGCCTTCGTCTGTGATATTACTATTCCACAACCTGCAGAGAGAAGAATGTCTAAGTCTGATGTGGATGTTAACAGTGTAAACAGCTAAAAGTACATATTTCTGTTGATGAAGATGTAAGTGAGTGAGCAGTAGCTGATATTAGGTCAATCACACTACTTCTCTTACATTTCTTTACACATTCTAGAGATTAGGCTTATAAACAACAACTATATTTTTCATGACCTTTGTGCATTTTTATGTTTGTTATTAAATATCATCCATTCTGAAGGACACTGTAATATTCTAGATTCTGGTTATTTATGTGTTTGAATATTTTGCCAGTTAAAGATGCCTTTCATGTTTCCTAACTCATTAAAAAAAATAATAATGTTACACCAATGGTATATATGCATTATTATTATTATTGATTGTACCACAGTGTCTCCAGTTTACAGAGAGGATTCTCCAGTACAGCAGAGAGCAGCTTCACTCCTGAATCTCCTAGATTATTATAAGACAGATTCAGATCTCTCAAGTGTGAGGGGTTTGATTTCAGAGCAGAAGTCAGAGCAGCACAGCCTTCATCTGTGATATTACACTCCCTCAACCTGCAGAAAGAACAATGACATGCCCTTCACTCTCTCAGTTCAGAACACACAGATCAGTTCAGCAGGAACTTCATCAACAAGGTGTGACTACAGTCATAAAACACAGCCTTATTTATAGAGCACTCTTCATACATGTAGAAGTTCAAAGTGAAATTTGCTTAAAGTTTTATTTAAGTGGAAAGTAGAAATCATTTGCAGACCATGATGGACAACAAAGTGTACACTCAGAACAATAAAGTTTGTTTAAGCACGAATGACACTGCTACCAAGTGTCCTGGATATGTTTGCAGTTTATTTTTATGTTCATGTTCTGTTTTTAATAATTTCTACAATGACAACAACAACACCTACTTCTACTACTACTACTACTAATAGTGATCACAATTACAACAGTACATCTACATATTTTTTGGACTAACTTTATATTTTCATATGAAAAGATGTACTGTTGCCACAAGAAAAATGAAAAAAAAAAATTTAAAAGAAAAAAAGAGGAAACGGTGGCTTTTGCCAAATTACATTATCATTACTGATCTAGATGTTGTTGTTGTTATTATTATTATTATTATTATTATTATTATTATTATTGTTGTTGTTGTTGTTAGTATTATTTTTACCCCAGAGTCTCCAGTTTACAGAGAGAATTCTCCAGTACAGCAGAGAGCAGCTTCACTCCTGAATCTCCTAATTCATTCAGAGATAGGTCCAGCACTCTCAGGTGTGAGGGGTTTGATTTCAGAGCCAAAGTCAGGGCAGCACAGCCTTCATCTGTGATATTACACTCCCTCAACCTGCAGAAAGAACAATGACATGCCCTTCACTCTCTCAGTTCAGAACAAACAGATCAGTTCAGTAGGAACTTCATCAATAAGATGTGGCAACAGACATAAAACAGTTTTATTAGTAGAACTTTTTACAGACAATACTGGTAATAAGTTACAAAGATAAAAATTACGTGCATTTTCTAGATATTAATAAATGATTTCAAATAAAGAATGATAAAAATGCTTTATATCTTTCATTCCAAGATGGTGCCGAGTATGGCTGCAACAGACAAACACTTTTGGAAATCAGATCACCAATCACTCAATGAAAACCAGACTTTGAGTTCCTGAATGCAGATCCATTGCTTGAGAACTTCAAAGAGGCCCCATTCATCTGGGCCGACTGGCCAAGGAAACGCTGCAGGTGCCGGAAAAGGGGCAGGAGAGCTGGCATTCTGGTCAGACTGAGACGGTAGGCTAACTGTCCCCCACTCCCCAGCATACTACTGGCAAACGAAAAAAGTCCATGGACAACAAAATCAGCAAATTCCAGGCATGGATCTCTTTCCAGTGAGAAACACTGGACTACTGTATAATCTGCCAAGACCTGGCTATCAGCACTCATGCAAAAAAAATCCTACTATTTTGGACTTATTGGATCTTAATGCAGCTTTTGATACTGTTAATCACAAGATTCAAATCCACCACCTTGAATACACAGACCCTCAGGTACAGTTTCAGAATGATTTAAATCATATTTATTTCAAATCATATTTAATGCATAGACAATTCTTGGTTTCACTGGGAAATCATTCACTGAAGAGACTTAGCATTTTTTCTGGATTCTCACAGGGTTCAGTTTTAGGGCCCTTACTCTTCTCCTTGTACATGTCACCTCTAGTTGATGTAATTATGAAACATTATTTTATTTTTCAAAGCTATGCTTATGACACATTATTATACATTTTGATAATCAGGACTCTGTAAACATACTGAGCAGCTGTGTGTCAGAAATTTCTTAGTGGATGTCACAAAAGTTTCTACAATTAAACTGTGAAAAACCTGAAATACTGATTGTTGGCACTAAAACTCAGAGAAAAATGATTTATGAAAAACTTGCTTCTGAAGTACATACCTGAAATATAAACCTGGGTGTGATCTTAGACTCTGAGCTCTGTTTTATGCCACATGCAAACACAGTCACTAAAGTAGCTTTTTATCATTTGAAAAATATCACTGAAGTTCAGCCTTTTCTGTCTGATTCTGTTTTTTAGTGAGAAAATACTAATAACTTTAGTTGGAAATTGTAATGGTAGCAACCAGCTTACAGGACTAAAAAAACTACCGTTCTCATCTCAAGTCAACAATCTGCTATGGTGAGTAATTAATTTGATAGTTATAAGATATCCAGTGTTAGTTACAATCAGTTACATTTGCTAAGCAGCCTTAGTTCAACAAGTTGGCTCATGTTAACACGAGTCTGAAAGCTGGCATTAACGTTATCAACTTAGCAACGTTTTGGGGAACAAATATTATGGGCTCCTAGTTAACATACAGTTTACGTACTTGTGTGTGTCTCTCTCTCCCTCTGTGTGTGTGTGTGTGTGTGTGTGTGTGTGTGTGTGTGTGTGTGTGTGTGTGTGCTTCGATACACCAGACTAACTTGTCACAGTGTGTAATGAGAGACAGTAGTGGATTCCCAGGACAGAATCTTTGCTATATCACATTGTTGTCCCCTGTAGTCACTTGGCAGATGATGCAATGCGACTGAACAAAGATATTATTTTTTAATGTGTTTGATCACTTAGATTGGCTGCTTTGCTTGTAACACAATCTGTCCAAAAAAAACAAACAAAAATTCTTCAGGACAGTGTAGGAAAGGTGGTGAAAAAGTTAGTTTTGAGTCCTGTAATATAATTCTCATGCACCCTGCTATGAACATTTGCCTGAATTTCCTCAGTTAGCATTGTATTTTCTAATGGTACTGTCCAATCAGAAGGCAGCTGTCCAAGTAGGCAGCATTTTAAGGCCTGAGACAAATACTGTCATATTTGTGTAACATATTTAACATGTTTGTGTTTGTAGATCACTTGAAATGGATCCTGTGCTTAAATTTAGGCAGTTTGCTTGTCTAACGTCACCTGAGAGGCTGCATTTGAACTCATTAGGTGAAGCTAGCATTAGTTAGATTAGCAAGGGGGCTAGTTGTGTAAACAAGCTGGACAGCAGAACCAGCACTACAGACTGACCTTCTCCCTGAATGATGAAAAATACTGCACATTAGCCAGCTTAGCTGACTGCGTGTGATCCTGTTTTTCTGAGGGCTCTTTGGACAACATTATAAGCAGTTTTTATCCTTTTTATCCTTTTATTCAATGGTCCTGAATGCGATTCTGCTTTTCAGCTAAACTGTTGCCCAAAGAGAGAAGCACCTCTGAAGGCAGTGACGAGTTAGACTGCTGCATCCAGAAGAGAACACACAATAAATGTTAACATGTTTCTTTCATCCTTAATGACAGGAAGTCTAAAAAAAAAATGTTAGTGGCTAGTGTTAAGTATAGATTACATTATTATGTATAGAACAATATAAGCAAATAAAATACTGTACCCCACTCTTCTTTAAATACTGGTAACATTCTGAAATCTACAGCATACCAATGATTTTTTCTATTTCATCAATTAATAATAATAATAATAATAATAATAATATATATATATATATATATATATATATATATATATATATATATATATATATATATATATATATATATATATATATATATATATCAGCCTCTGGCTGCTCTGCTCTCTAAATATTGCTCGTTTCTTCTAGGATTTTGAAACTTTTATTTTCTTGTTATTTAGTTATTTAAAAGTTATTTTATTTTACTTTTGTTACTTTTTGAATTATTTCCTTGTACTTTACTTCAAGGTCTGTTTTACCAATTATAATCTTTTTTGTCATATTGTTTATTACAGTGTTGCTTTTTACAAGACTATTTCTCAACCTGTCATCTATTTGTTGCTTACTGAAAATGAGGATTCCCCTCAGTGTAAACCTGAACATAAATAAAGAATATGATGATCATGATGATGATTTTACAACTGTGCTGCTGTGTGCCACTTTAGCACCTGCACTACATATAAACAAATATGTAAATATCTGCAACATCCAGCTAATTGTTTTTACACTTTTTAATGATCAAAAATATGAGCCTAATATTTACAACCCCAATTCCAAAAAAGTTGGGACGCTGTGTAAAATATAAATAAACAGAGTGCAATTATATAAACCCATAAATCTCATAGGCCCTTATTTCATTTAAAATAGAACACAGAACACATTTCAGATGTTGAAAGTGAGACATTTTACCATTTCATGAAAAATATTAACTCATTTAGAACATGCTTGCAGCAACGCATCTTAAAAAAGTTGGGACAGGGCCGTGTCTACTATTGTGTAGCATCCCCTCTTCTGTAAACAACAGTCTGTAAATGTCTAGGAAGTGAAGAGACCAATTGCTGGAGTTTTGGGAGAGGAATGTTGTCCCATTCTTGTCTGTTGTAGGATTCTAGCTGCTCAGCAGTTCTGGGCCTTCTTTGGGTCTTCTTTGTTGGATTTTCATTTCATGATGCGCCAAATGTTTTCTATCGGTGAAAGGTCTGGACTGCTGGCAGCCAGTTCAGCACCTGGACTCTTCTTCTGCAAAGCCATGCTGTTGTGATGGATGCAGAATGTGGTACATCTGAAACCTTTATATGTTGTTCAGCATTGATGGTGCCTTTCCAGATGTGTAAGCTGCCCACAGGCGTTAATGCAACCCCAGACCATCACAGATGCAGGCTTTTGAACTGTGTGCTGATAACAAGCTGGATGGTCCCTCTTGTGTCCACAGGACATGGCGTCCGTGGTTTCCAAAAGGAATTTCAAATTTTGATTCATCTGACCACAGAACAGTTTTCCATTTTGCCCTTGTCCATTTTAAATGAGCTTTGGCCCAGAGAAGATGGCGGCATTTCTGTATTGTGTTGACATATGGCTTCTTCTTTGCCTGATACAGCTTTAACTTGCATTTGTGGATTGCGTGGTGAACTGTGTTCACAGACAGTGATTTCTGGAAGTGTTTCTGAGCTCATGCAGTGATTTTTTACAGTACAGAATCATGCCTGTTTTTAAGGCAGTGCTGCCTGAGGGCACAAAGATCACGAGCATCTAATATTGACTATTGGCCTTGTCCCTTGTGTATAGTGACTTCTCCAGCTTCTCTGAATCTTTTGATGATATTATGTACTATAAATGGTGGGATATCCAAAGTGTTGAAGAACATTTTCCTGAAATTGGTTCACAATTTTTAGAGAGAGTTTTTCACAGATTGGTGAACCTTTGCTCGTCTTTGCTTCTGAGATACTCTACCTATTTACAATGCTCTTTTTATACCCAGTCATGTGAGTTAGTTGCAAATTGCTTCTCCAGCTGTTTTTTATTAGTACCACTTACATTTCTAGCCTTTAGTTGCCCCGTTCCAACTTTTTTGAGATGCGTTGCTGCCTTCAAGTTCAAAATGAGTTAATATTTTTAATGAAATGTTAAAATGTCTCACTTTCAACATCTGATTTGTGTTTTATGTTCTATTGTGAATAAAATATGGGTCTATGAGATTTGCAAATCATTGCATTCTGTTTTCTTTACATTTATATACATTTTACACAGGGTCCCAACTTTTTGGAATTGGGGTTGGAAATAATTATGTAATATGTGTTTATAAAGAGGTCATTAACTAACATTGAAGGGTTACCAGAGAAAAAAATCTTACTGAGGACCAGGACGTGTGAAACAAAGATGATCTTACTTCAGTGTCTCCAGTTTACAGAGAGGATTGTCCAGTCCAGCAGAGAGCAGCTTCACTCCTGAATCTCCTAGATTATTCCAATTCAGATCCAGCTCTCTCAGAGCTCTCTCAGGCCAGAGCTGCACAGCTTTTCTTTGTCAGATTACAAAATGAAAGACTGAAGAAAAAAAACTAACATTAATTTGACTGATACTAGCTCCTAATATAAACTAGTAATGCTGATCAACAGCAAATTCACACAGATAAAAATGAATATACAAAATGTTTAGACATATGAAGGCAGTTAGTTAATTGTTGTATATTTTCAATTACAATTGTATTTGAAAGAATTAAAATTTAAATAATGAAGCAGTGTTTCATTCTCAATGTGTTTCTAATATTGTGTCAGTTTTATTCAGTATTACTTACTCAGCTGTTCTGGATTCTGCAAATACAGGAAGCAGCTTCAGAAGAACATCGTCTGATCCATTATATTTCTGTAGGACAAATTCATCCAGATCGTCCCATGATGTCAGCAGTACAAAGACCACAGCTGACCACTGTGAAGAAGAGAGTTTTCTTTGGTTTAGTCTGTCAGACTGCAGGTACTGCTGAACTTCCTCAACTAGAGAACGGTCATCCAGTTCATTCAGACAGTGGAACAGATTGATGGATTTCTCTGCAGAGCGATTCTCTCTGATCTTCTTCTTGATGTACTCAACTGTTTCCTCTTTGCTGTGGGAGCTACTTCCTGTCTGCGTCACTAACGCTTGTATGAGAGTCTGATTGGACTCCAGTGAGAGACCCAAAAGAAAGCGAAGGAAAAGATCCAGATGTCCATTCTTACTCTGTAAGGCCTGATTCACAGCACTTTTGTGTACATCTGAGATTTTAATTTCTTTCCTCCCGAGGCTCCTCAGTTTAGAGGACTGACTCTGTTTAAGCACATTTCTCTTCTGGGTCATGAAGGTCAGGTGCACATATAGAGCTGCAAGATGTTCCTGAATGCTCAGATGAACAAAGCAGTACACTTTACTCTGGTGCAGCCCAGATTCCTCTCTGAAGATCTGTGTACACACACCTGAGTACACTGATGCTTCTTTAAGTTCGATGCCACACTCTCTCAGATCTTCCTCATAGAAGATCAGGTTCCCTTTCATCAGCTGCTGAAAAGCCAGTCGTCCCAGTTTGAGAAGTATTTCTTCATCTGTCTTCTGGTTCTTTGTGTACTTTTCTCTTATGATTTTTGTCTGAATGATGAGGAAGTGTGTGTACATTTGAGTCAGAGTTTTGGGGGTCTCTCCACTCTCTGCTTCACCCAACATTCTCTCTAGAACAGTGGCTGAAATCCAGCAGAACAAAGGAATGTGGCACATGATGTAGAGGCTTCTTGATGTCTTCAGGTGTGTGATGATTCTATTGGTCAGGCTCTGATCACCGATTCTCTTCCTGAAGTACTCCTCCTACTGTGGGTCACTGAACCCTCGTACTTCTGTCACTCGATCCACATACTCAGAGGGGATCTGATCAGCTGCTGCAGGTCGGGAGGTGATCCAGATGAGAGCAGAGGGAAGCAGATTCCCCTTGATCAGATTGGTTAGCAGCACCTCCACTGAGGATGACTGAGTGACATCATCCAATCTCACAGTGCTCTGAAAATCTAGAGTGAAACGACACTCATCCAAACCATCAAATATGAACAGAACTTTGGGAGATCTGGATATTTCCATTTCTTTAATCTCCTTAAACCATGTATGAAGAAGATCCACCAAACTGAATCTTTGGTCCTTCATGAAATTCAGTTCTCTGAAAGGAAGTGGAAATATGAAGTGGACATCCTGATTTGCTTTCCCTTCAGTCCAGTCCAGAATGAACTTCTGCACAGAGACTGTTTTTCCAATGCCAGCGACTCCCTTTGTCAGCACAGTTCTGATGGGCTTGTCTTGTTCAGATAAGGGTTTAAAGATGTCATTGCATTTGATTGGTGTGTCCTCTGTTGCTGTTCTCCTGGATGCTGCCTCGATCTGTCTGACCTCATGTTCATTATTGACCTCCCCACTGTCTCCCTCTGTGATGTAGAGCTCTGTGTAGATCTCACTGAGAGGTGTTGGGGTTTCCTCAAACTTCTGCTTCAGATTTAATTTGAAGTTTTCTTGAACTTTCACTGCATCAGAATCATGGCCATGTCTGTGAGATATTGAGACATGTGGTGAGGCACAGAATGATGAACATTTTGCTGCCATTTGTATTTCCCCCAAATTCACAAACCAAATTCCCCATTATTCATAAACCTATCACCTATCATGTACTCTCTATGCATTCTCTTTAATTTGTATGGTCTCTATAGCCTTAATCAAAATTGATTAAGAAGTAACAAGTTCTGAATTGTGTTTACAACATACTGCATGTCTCTGTATCTTAGTTATGGTCTTACTCTTTATCTGTGATCATTTCCTCTTCTGTTCTTTCTCTCGGCCCCTGCAGGCTGTGAACACAAATTAAATGTGCTGTATATTTTCATTAAAGCATCTGAACTTCAGTACTAAATCTCTCAAACAATTTTTTAAAATAAATCTGAGAACACAGTCAGAACTAGAGCTTGGCCCATATTCTGAAAATTTTGGAATGGATGCTGATACAGTAGAGGAAATTGCTGCCTATATTTTAAGTGTAAAAGTTGATTTTCATTTAAAAGTCAATAATTATGTTCACATATGCCCACTTGTTAAAAATGTCCAATTTGAGGATTACTGCTTCATAGTGTTACAATTTAATAATTGTATTATACTGTAATATAAAAAACATTAATTGTAAAGACATCACTGAAAGCAAAAAATAAACTATGTTCTTTGTGTACCGGGGAATATTTATTTTGGAATGGATGACATAACCAATACATATTACTGGTCTGGGCTTGTCTACTGGAAAGGATGAATCAGCAACTGTGAGGAGCTGTTACCTGTGTCCAGATGAGGGGTGTCCATCTCTGAACACTGGTGGAGGACCCATAGGTGTATCACTCTTCTTGTTCACACAGCTGGTTGCTGAAGAGTCTGATCTCTTTATCTGAATTTGACTGCACAGGGGGTTACTTACACAGTCTTTATTATTGGCTTGATGATGACCAGCAACAGTACTATAAAGTGAAACACACGGTAACTCACTATTAATGAACTAGGAGTTAATGATGGTCAGGAACAGTATAAAGTGAAACACACATTAACTCATCATTAATGAACTAGGAGTTAATGACGATCTGGAACAGTATAAAGTGAAACACAGTGACTCATTATTAATGAACTAGGAGTTATTGAGAATCAGGAATAGTATTATAAAGTGACATACAATAGAAATAAAATCCCATAAAGAAATTATGTAATGTAGTACAAAACATATTAGTAAAGAAATTTTGAAAAAAGTAAGAGAAAATAAGTTGTTTGAACATAACACACCCAAATAGAATGAAATCTAAATCTGTCATTACTACTGAAGGAGAAAGTCTGAGAGCTGAGACTGGTCACAGTATGTTCTGCTAGTTCATTTATTATACATCTTTCTGTTTCATATCTGAGGCAAGTTTTACTGCCTATTAGCTTGGCTCATGTTAGCTAAATTAACTAGCTAGCTAGCATGCATTCATAACAGAATATCAGCAGCAGCTTTAGGTTTAGTAAAACAACACAGTAAATCAGACATTGTACAAGAAGACCGAACCTCCTTAGCTCAGATTAGTCAGCAAGTCAGCTAACTGCATCTCTATATTAGTGCTGGGTCTGTTGTGGTAGTTTGTGCTTAACAGAAACGTCAATGCTATCATAAGAGTCAAATCAAATCAAATCAAAATCAAATGAAATCAGATTTATTGTCACATCACAAGAGTACAGGGACACAGGTGAGTGAAAAACTTGAGTGCGAGTTCCACAAATTATGCAGAGAACAGTATTTACAACATAGATAAACAAAACTATAGATAGGATAGAAGAATAGATTCCCATTCAATTCTACTGTTAAATGTAAGTTTATTTAATTAAGCAGAACAATAAAATTTTATTATTTTATATGCCAAAATCTCTATGTATTCATACTACTACTACTACTACAATAATAATAATAATAATAATAATAATAATAATAATAAGTCATCATCAATAGAAGTAGTAGTGGATTGCGGTGATAGAAGACTTGCTAGTATGCACTGACCAAGATGCACTTAAATGAGTGCATATTTGAAGTACTTGGATGAAAAATACAGAATGTTTTTTACCCACATTTTTTCTACCAGGCCTTTTTGGAGAAGACCACCTGACACTTGGCCCACAAACAATTTGAATTTAGGACCCTGTATTTTATATTAAATGAAGTCTAACTGATCTTTCCATGACAGCTTAACTGGGCAGATCAGAATGCTTTCATTTAATAATAAAAATGGATGTATGTTGTTTGGTTTATATTTAGTTTACCTTAGGCAGTGATTCTGAATAGATTTTAGAGAAGAAGGGACAGGGAATAATCTACCGTCAAAGTTACAATGCAGAATCGGACTAATATTGTAATAATAATATTTCACAATATTTTCAGTCTACATATTATTTAATGTTTAGTTTTACAAAATGTTATGAATATAATGTTCATCTACTTATAATGTATAATGAATGATAAGGAACTTTTCTTAGTGGTTTCAGTGGTTTTTCTCTTCTTTCTTTTTGGTTTTGAATTTTGAAAAATCATGTCTCAGTCTAAATCCTGTCTTGGTCTCACCACTCCTGTTGTTTTTTTCTGTAGGAGTGTAAATATATAGAAAATCTGACATTTAAAATAAAAATTTTAGCGTTCTACTGAATTAAATAAACTTACATTTAACAGTAGAGTTGCACAGGACTCTTCCTATAATAGCTTTCTGAGGTTTTAGCAAGTGCTGGTAAAGGAGAGCAGTTAATCCTGTGTTCTCAGTGGATTAGTTTGATAATTCTGTTCATATTTTAATCCTGACTTGTTGTACCTCCAGAAATAAAAAAAAATGTATTGTATTTCTCTCAACAATAGCTCAAATCTCATTAGCTGTTACCTGTGTCCAGATGAGGGGTCTCCGTCTTTG